TGCACACGGAGGGAAAGACACAAAAGGTTATTGCTGAAGAGGCTGGCTGTTCTCAGAGCTCTGTGTCCAAACACATTAATAGAGAGGCAAAGGGAAGGAAAAACTGTGGTCAAGCGATAGGGATCACCACGCCGCATTAATGCAGTAATTGAGGCAAAAGGACCTCCAACCAAGTATTGAGTATTGTACATGCTCATATTTTTCATTTTCATACTTTTCAGTTGGCCAACATTTCTAAAAAATCCCTTATTTGTATTAGCCTTAAGTAATATTCTAATTTTGTGACACATGGAATTTTGGATTTTCATTTGTTGCCACTTCAAATCATCAAAATTAAATGAAATAAACATTTGAATGCATCAGTCTGTGTGCAATGAATAAATATAATGTACAAGTTACACCTTTTGAATGCAATTACTGAAATAAATCAAGTTTTTCAAAATATTTTAATTTACTGGCTTTTACCTGTATTGTATGAAATTGTGTCATATCAAACTGGTCCTATAGTCACTCTTTAACAGCTAAAGTAATGTAATGAAAGTAATTTTTCCCTGAGAATATTAAAGTAGTTTTGATTCTGCTTCCTGGTTGATGGGACAGGTGTTGTGAATGAAACGGTGCCCAGCTTGAAAGAGCTCCTGTGTGTCGCTGAATGTGTGCATTGATGATTGAAATGTATTTATATACAACTTTCATTTCATTTTATTTTTATCGATCATTTACCTTTTTTAATATTATGATCATATTTAATTACTCATTTTTCTTCTCTTTCATTAACCGTTACCTTTATACCAACGGTGAACCTGTGTTTCTACTGAAATATGCTGTATAAATAAACTGACCTTGCCTTACCACAAAGGATTTTGAGGCCATTGATTAGATCTACAGAAACCACAGGTGTTCTTTTTCGGAAACCCACAGCCACTGAAGCAACATTTGATTTCTTTTCAGTCCTTTTTTTTTTGTTTTTCTGCTCTGCAGCAATACCTGCGGCCAGTGGTGGATGTCGCCTCGGAGGACTGCTATAAGTTTGCCGTGTCTCAGTCCAGCACCGGGACAGTGATGGGAGCCGTCATCATGGAGGGCTTCTACGTCGTATTCGACCGAGAGAAGAAACGCATCGGATTCGCCGTCAGCACCTGCCATGGTGAGCTGGAAAGAACAGAGAGGATGAGGGAGGAGGAGACTGAAAGCTATCGTGTTCCTCCATTTTCATGTAACATTAGACATGTTTTTTCTCAAATGTTATATAATATTAGCACATTACCAAAAGGTAAGCCTTTTTTTAATGGGTATGTTTATTCAAGCTTTGCATATTTAGGGGCTAAAATGTCTGCAACATTATTCATTGTTAATCAGCCCAGTCACTGTTAGGTTGAACAGACATTTTTAGCACGTCTGTTAGCAAAAATGTTGAATTATTGCTCAGTTTGATTGGATGAATCTGGACTTCAACATTACCTCTGACCAGCTTCCCAGGCACTGCAGAAGAGAAGCACCCCCACATCATGACACTGCCACCACCATGTTTCTCATTGGGATAATATTGGATGCTGATGTGCAGTCTTGGTTTCCCACCATGGGAAACCATTAACTTCTACACACACACTTTGTCCCTTTCATGAATTGTGACAAAAACTGAAACCAACATCGGCTTTCGTTCATCCGCATTTTGTAGTTGAGAACATAATATCCCAGTAAAACACACTGAAGATGAACTGTTAGGAATACTGCTGTTTTGTTTAGACTTAGACATTTCCACAGGGTTTCCGTGGGTCATTAAAAATCATTAAAAGTCATTAAATTATTATTTTTAAATTAAGGCCTTAATTGACATTAACATTCATTAAATGTGATTATCATGACATTTAAAATGCTTTATTAAAAAAAAAA